GTGAGTGTGCATTCGCAAGACTGTGACACGGGCTGACGTGAACCTACTCCACGTCTTAAAACTGCCACACCTGCACTTGTCCCTGAAAGGAGTCGCCGCCGGGAGTTTGCTGGTCCCGAACGTGGTCCCGAAATTTGGGTGTTGCCCTCCGTAGAATCCCTGCATATTGGGGCCTCCCAAGTACAAGGTCAGTAACTTCTCTTGTGGCATAAAACAAATGAACACACACAACCACCCTGGGAAGAACGGAAGCCAAGAGTGGATGGGAAACAATCTGAGAACAGCCATCCTTTTAGAGAAAATCCATGTAGGTTTATCTAAACCCCACTTCCTACCTCAGCTCCCTTCCCGCTGTTTCACGTTCTCACCCACCTGCGGAAGCCAGGCCGGGCGCCTTTTCGGGGCCGGCACTGGGGAAAAGGACGAAGGCAGGTTTTCTCCCTCGTTTCCCGGATGAGGAAATTGAGACTTAGGAGGTGGAGAAGAGCTCGAACAGGGTCTGTCCGACTTCAGGGTCTCTCTCGTCACCGCCGCCAAGCCCCCGGGAGGAGCAGAGCGGATCCCCCAGGCTGTGCCGCGGCGCTGCTCCCGCGCCTGGACCGACCCTCCCCGGCCCCGCCCACACACCCCCCCCCGGAGGCCGACCCTGTCCCGGCCTCTTGGTGCGCTCAGGCGTGGCGAGGGGTATCCCCCCCGCGACTCCCTCGTGTGTGACCAGGTCTTACAACAGTCGGAGGGAGGAATGAGGGGCCCGGGTACAGAAAGCAAGCTGCGCCCGCCACCCGCAGCCAGCAAAGATCACTGCAGTGGCGTCCGCCCACGCGAGTCGCAGCGCACGCTGTGCCCACCAGGGGGCGCTCCAGGACCGCTGGTTGAAGACGCGCGGTGGAGGGCGCTTGCCCAGCGCTCAGTGCGCCGGGCTAAGTAACTTGCCCAGACTGCTTCAGCTCTGAAGTGGGGGGGGGTGAGATTCAACACTAATTACGAAAATTAAAATGACTCTTTTCTATAGTTCCTACCATATTCCAAGGACTGTTTGAAGCGCTCAGGTTGGTTTTTGTTTACATTTATTTTAATTTTTATTGAAATACACATAACAAAATTTACCATTTTGGCCCTTTTTAAAATATATATATATTTTTAAATTTATTCTTAGAAGGGGGGTGCCCGGTGCCCGCACACGGTGGCCGCTGTTTTCAGCTCTTGAATGACTGACGGACCGGATGGACCGCTGGGGCTTGGCAAACGGGACCCAGATGTACCCCCCGAGGCAGGTGTGGGGACGCCCCCACCCGGCGGGTGGGAGCCTGGGGCACGCGGAGCAGCGCCTCGGGTCCCGGGGGCAGCAGCGTAAAAACCCCGAGATCCCACCCGCAGGGGCCGTGCGAGGAGCCCCCAGGCTCTTCAGCAGCGGGTTTGTCCCCGCGGGGCCCGGAGGTGCCCGGACGGAGGGGAGTGCGGTCGCCTCCTGTGGGAGAAGGAGGCGGTGTTCCGCGGAGGCCGAGGACCCGCGAGGGCTGCAGCGGGAAGCAGGGCAGACGCAGGCAGACCCCTCGCGGAGCGTCGTGGGCGGGGGGAGGGCGGACGGGTACTGAGCCCCGAGAGCAGCGCGGGCTCCGGCGTTGGACAGCGGCGCCCGCGGGGAGGAAAGGCGGGCGGGCGGGGCCTGCGGGTGCGGGGCGGGAGGGTTTGCAATCGGGGGAAGCCCTCACCGGGAAGGTGGCAGTAGGTGCGGGGCGAGGCAGCGGACACCCGAGGGAAGCGCCCCCAGGGGCGGGAACGGCCGGTGCGAGAGCCCAGAGCCACGACTGCGCTGCCCGGGGCTGAGTCATGAGTCGTCACCGACCCCTCCCGAGCCAGGCTTCCGAGCTGGGCTTGTGTCTCTGTGGAGTCTTCGGCGTAAATAGATTTGAGGGGTGTGTCTCTATTTGATTCTGTGGTTAGAATAGGTTTTGGAAAATAGGGTGAAGGCAGGTTTTCACCCCTATTTCCCAGAAAAGGCAACTGAGGCTCGGAGAGGCGAGAAAGGGCGCTCAGTCCCCGTCCTACCCCAGGGCTCCCTCGCAAAGCCGCAGACCGTTCCAGAGCAAGAGGCGGGGGCGCCTTGGACCGGAATCCCATGTCCTACCCAAACTCGACCCCAACCCCGGCCAACCCTGTCCCGGCCTCTCAAACCGCTCAAGTCCCGAGTGTGGTCAACTGCTGGAACTACTGAGAGGGAAGATCAGGGGATCCCGGAGCGCGAACAACGCCCAGACCTCGGGAGCCGGGGAGACCGCCCACACCAGCTGCAGTACTCGAAGTGCCCATCCGAGGGCGCCCCAGGACCGCTTGTTAAATCTGCTTTAGATAATGAATGGCCCAGAGCCAGAGGCTCCACCTGGCCTTTGACTGCCAGGCTGGGGAAAGTGGACATTCCTGTAGGGGAACGCTGCTTCAAGTGAAGTCCTAGTAGTAGCCGCATTAACATCACCTGAGGACTTGATAGAAATGCCTGTTAGTGGGTCCACCGTAGACCTACGAAATCATTTGGGGCTGGGATCAAGCAATTTGTGATTTAAAAGTTCCTTCAGGTGATTCTGATGCACGACCAGGTCTGATTAGGGTCGCGGTTCTTAGCGCCGTCGGCAGCACATTGGAATCGTCCCAGGTACACATTGGAATCACCCCGGAAGCTTTAGGGCTCTCGGTGCCCCAGCCGTACCCCGGACCAGTTCTGTGAGAACCCGAGAGTGCGGACTGGGCATGCATGTGTGAAAGCTCCCAGATCATTCCACGCAGCACCCAGGATTGGAAACCCTTGCACTAGGAGTCCCAATCCGGACTGAGATGCCTCCTGAGATGCCTCTTGAAATATTAGTATAACAGGAAGAAGACGAGATGACGTCTGTTGGGGCTGATTTGAGCTCTAACACATCAGGTCTTCTTCAATCCTCTCAGCCATCCTAGGAAACGGCTATGATGCTTGCTCTCTCTGATGAGTACGTGGAGGCGCAGAGAAGTTAAGTAACCAGTCTGAGGTCACATAGCTTGCAAGGGGCGGTGCTGGAGGTGAGGTGGGCAGCCTGACTCCAAATCCCTCCTCACTCCGTCCCCCTAGCGGTTTCCTCTCTTCCAGTCACTCCATCATGGGGCCTGGGAAGGGGGATTCAGAAAGTCCCTGCCTGTGGCGCGATGGCATCTTTGTGTCCGTATTCCATTGTTTTCTCTTCGGTCACATTGAAAGGCCGGTGTGGAGACAAAAGCTCCTGGCGCGCCCTCTGGTGGTCACGGCGGGCGCCGCAGCTGGTGCGGCCTCTACTCCACTCCAGAGTTGTGGGTAGTTGGGTGTTTTCTGCCGACTTCCTCCCTGAAAACCACCCCAGGAGGCACCTACAGGCTGCATTTGGGGGCTGGGCCTCTACTGGCACCATTTGAAACCTCCTTGGAATGAAAATAACACTGAAAGCCCTGGTACTATCTCAGGCTACTCAAGGGTCCTTCCACCTGCAAGGCCTGGCTGGACGCTCACGTTGGAGACGCCACGGACAGGAGGGACAAACTGAGAATCAGCAGTGGGGGGACAGATTTGCCCAGCCAATGAGCCTCTCTGGGTGCCTCTCGCCATCTCTGCTCCCAGCTCCTTTCACCTTTCAGCATCCCCTGCAGGCCAGACCCCTCCCCTACCCCTGGAAGGAGGCCAGAGGCCCCTATTCCCCAAACAGGGCAGTAGCCCCAGCCCGCCCCCACTGCCATCACCAAGCTGGCTTCCAGAGTCCTCACTGGCCACTTCAGAGACAACTCCACCCAGTTTAGTTATTCTGCTGCTGCACCCTGTCCCCCCAGCCCTCCCAGTAGAGCTGGAAGCTCCTTCTTGCCGGGCTGTGAACTACACCCAGTACAAAGGGGTTCTCAGCTTAACGGTAAGTGGCACCCACATGACCACTTCCAGGGGAAGGGGTGAAAGAAGCCATATCATGCTTTAGTTCCAAGGGAAATAACCAAGAAACTCAGGCCAGGCAGTCACCAGAGTCAGAAGGACAGAGCTGGCCTTCAGATACCTTCTTCCTTGAATTCCCGTTTCTTCTGCCATCAACAAAGCTGGGGCGTGGTCCTTGCCATCTGCTTCTCTCTGGTGGGAGATGAGGGGCACACAAACAAGACAGAGAGATGTCCCCCGGCCACCCGTCTCTCCCAGCAGTAATCACAGCACACTCCACACTGCTCCCGGCCGCGCCCTCCCCAGCCCTGTGTCCACTGCCATGATTTGTCCAGCGATCAGGCTGCCCCAGATGTTCATGGAGCTTGATCAAAGCATATTCCTGGGCCGGCCAGCCAGTGCTGGCAAACCCACAGCCCTGGCACAAAGGGCCCCAGAACCTGCACTCAGGCACGTTTCCCGGACGAGTCTTCTGTGCCTTGTCAGGCGTGTGGAGTGTCTGCACTGCAGGCGCTGGACTCGTGGAGCCCATGGGACCCAGCAGCATGGACGTGGCAATCAAAGGGACATAAATGCAGGTCCACCCTCATGGAAGGTGGAGAGGACACAAGTGCATGACAAAATCAGCCTGGAGCATTCTTCAGCTGCCAAGTCTAAAGCCGAGAAGAAAGTTTGTGAACATTTTTATTTACGTATTTACATGTAAGTTCCAGGAGGCTGTCAATGTGCAGGAGAAAAGGGGATGCGAAAGGGGGTGAGGGCCCTGGCTGGCATGACTCAGTGGATTGAGCATGGGCTGCGAACCAAGGGGTCGCCAGTTCGATTCCCAGTCAGGGCACATGCCTGGGTTGCAGGCCAGGTCCCCAGTGGGACCCACCTGAGAGGCAACTACACACTGATGTTTCTCTCCCTCTCTTTTTCTTTCCCTTCCCCTCTATCTAAAATGGATAAATAAAATCTTTAAAAGAGAAAAAGAAAGGGGGTGAGGGAGGAATTTCTCCACTGGCCTGGCTCCTGGTTTCAAGCTAAGCACCTAGAGTTGCACTTGAGGAAGTGAATGCAGCCCTATTGTGCAGGGGGGGTTTTTGTTTTTGTTTTTGTTTTTTACATTCCTTGGATTACTACAAAGAGTCTGTATTTTTTAAAAAATCAATGCATGAAAGAAACATTTCACAAGAAAAGAAAGAGGGGTGTTGGGTGGAGATGTGCTGGGCGCTGCCTGGCCCTCTACTCCACTTTCACGTGTGGGGCAGAAGGAGCATCCGTGTCCAGTGCAGAGGGGGGAACGCGCCCTGAGTGGCCCTCAAGGTGGCAGGCGCTCTGTGGCTCCCATGCCCTCTCCTCAAGGCAGGTCCTCCTGCTCTCCCTGCTCCGCTGCTGCTCTGGCCTCAGCCCTCAGCATGCGGAGGCTCCTGTCCTCGCCTGTCCCGGCGACTCTCTTGGGCAACCGGGGAGTGTGCCAGAAGGCTCTCCGGCACTTGAGAAACCATGAAAATCTCCTGGGGTCTGGAACCTCACTGTCTTCGCCTGCTTCCCGGCCCTAGCTCCTGGGGCTGCTCCTGGGGCCGCCCTGGGAGCTAAGGCTTCAGCGTCCTGGACAGCTGGGGCCTCTGCCCCCTGATGATGCACAACACCTGCCCCCCTGGTCGGTCATGGCCTCCGCCCTCTGATCACTTGCAGCCTCCACCCCCTGAGCTGTGGATGCTGCTTCCTCCTTCCAGTGCAGCCTAAACGAGGCCCAGCTGACCTTGGGCCTCCACCGCCTTGTGGGGGGCTCAGGCACCAGCCCATCTCCTGCGTTCCCCACGTTACCCCCCTGATTGGCGCTACATGGCACCCCCTCCCTCTCACCCTGGCGGAGTCCTGCTGGGCCTCTTCCACTCCAGGGCTGGACCTGGGCACCCAACCCTTCACCCTCCGCTTCAGCTTCCCCCAGGACACCTGGCTGACACACTCTCGCCACCTGTCTGCTTTGGTCGGCGGGGCCCCAGGTTGCCTTCAAACGCGGGCAGCGGCTGGTTCACGCGGTGGCGTCAGGCAGGCAGCGCGCCGGAGGAAGGCCTCCACCAGTTCCTCCTCATCCTCGCTCTCCAGGTCGCTCCCCAGGAATTTGCTGCCCAGGTAACTGAAGGGCATTTTGCGCACCTTCCTGCCACGCCCAGGGCCGGTGGCCCTTGCCACCCTCCTCTCTGGAGGTCTCGAAGTCGCTGAACTCGCTGTCGCTGGCGTCGCTGCTGTCATAGGTACCCACGATCAGCCGGGGAAGAGGGGTCACCATCTGCTGGACTCTCCTCACTCAGGGCTCCTTGGGCTTTTGGGGTGCTGGGGTGGCTGCGGGGTGCTCTTCTCAATGAGGCGGTCACATCCTCCAGGGCGCGACCTTCTTCCTCCAGAAACTGGGTCTGCCGCTCGCGACATTCCGCCTCCTTGCTGGTGGGCTTGCAGATGCCCCTCCAGACGCCGCCCCCCCCCCCCGCCCCGCCAGCCTGACCTCGAGAGGGATAAGCAAACAGTCTGCATCCTCCCCGATCTGCAGCATCCCCGCGGTGGCGTCCCCCTCCCTGCGGAACACCTTGCCGAGCTTTTTAAAGGTCCCCACGGGCTTCAGGGCTTCCACGAGGGCGTCCAGATCCACATCTTTGGCGCCGTCCCGGACGCTCCGGAGGATCAGGAAGTTGGGGGAGGGGAGTCCAGGGTCCTTAAGATCTCCGGGATGAAACCTGGGGTGGGGAGGCCCAGGAGCCCACACTGTAAGAAGCCCCTAGTGTGGGGGTGGGAGTGGGGGCGGCGTCCCCGCTGTGCGGCCGGAGAGTTTCACCTGTCCAGCAGGGATGAGCCGACACTTCCCATTTCTCCGCCGGGACAAGTTTCCGTCTGGTCCAAGGCCGGCTCCCCCGACGACTGGTGGGAATCAGTTTTCAGGAAACATACTTGAGCCGGGGTGAGGTCAGTCCTGAGGTTCAAAGCCCACTGCCAGCTGAAATCGTGGTGTCTCCGCCCCAAGTTGGGGCGCATGGGCTCCCCGCGATTCTTCCTGCCCCGGGCACCAGAGGCGCGCCTGGAACTTGGGAGAGGACTTCGCAGACAAAGACGGCCCAGCCGTGGCTATTCAATGTGGCCGAGGCGCTTGGAGGAGGCAGCCCAGTTCCCACGGGAGGGTCTCCCGCCCCTCGGCAGGCTGCCACCCCTGTCCAGGCTGGCCTTGGCGCGCCTCCCGCCTCCCTGCCCGCGCGCTGTGCCTCGGAGTTCCGGGGCGGGAAGTTCCCCCTCGCCCTCCCTCAGGACAAGGCCCACCTTCCCCTTCTCATCTTACACTCCCTGACACCGGGAGACTGACAGGGGAGCTGTCCACTCTCTTCAGGGCGCCCTCACGCCCCTCCTGCATGGGGGTGTGGCCGCACCCGGCTCTTGCGGGAGGGGGGGCCCGCCCCCCGCCCATGCTTCCCAGTGGAACACGCGAGGAGGGCCCGGTCACACCTTCCCGAGAAAGGCAGCAGTTTACAAAGCTGCCACCCTAACCAGCCAGGCCCGGGAGGTGGCTGTGCTAGTGGGACCGGCCCCTGAGAGCCACTGACACTGTAAAGAACCACTTTGAGATGACACGACTCCTGGTCCCAGACGTGTGGGTGGAGAAGGCGGTACCAGGGTCCCATTGCACCAGCCCCTAGCGCGGGCTTGGCTCGCAGTAAGTGCTCAGTAAACGTTTCTGAATGAAGTGAATGAACGAACCTAATTGCTGATTAGTAGAGACTGACTCGATTTTAGGATTTCCTCTCACAGTGAAATACTGAGCACCTATTAAAAAAAAAAAAGATAGTCGAGTTTTATGGAGCTACGCGGAAGGATAAGGCACCACCTTCAGCGCTTTCTGTGAAGTCCTCACCATAACGTTAAATATAATATGACGATCATTCCCATTTTATAGGCAAAGACATAAATCACTTGCTCAACATCGCACGGCCAGGAAATGATGGTTTGCATACGAATCAGTCTGATGTGTGTGTGTGTGTGTGTGTGTGTGTGTGAGAGAGAGAGAGAGAGAGAGAGAGAGAGAGAGAGAGAGAGAGAGAGGGAGAGAGGGAGAGAGGGAGAGAGGGAGAGGGAGAGAGCGAGCAGGCCCAGGAGCCTACACCTACAAGCACTGCCAACAACGGCTATTTCTTGGGGGGAGGGGGGCGGGCCTGGGGCCCCACAAAGCGGGCAGCGACAGGCACTTTCACTCCCTGTCTTTTCGGATTGCTTGGAGTTTTAGCAATCAAAAATGTTAATTAAGAAATTAAATGAAACCGAAGGTCCTCCGATTCGGCCACACACCAGTGGGTCGGGATACCTGGGATGTGGGGGCCAGGGTTTGCGGTCTCCCAGGCAACGCTGAGGCAGCCGGCTCCGCAGCCACAGGCAGAGCACGTGGGCGGCGTTAGCAATAGTCACAGCAAACTCTTGCGGAGGGTTCTCTTGAAACCAGACACCTTGCCACCTTGCGGTGTGCTGAATAGGCCTGCTGCGAGTCCTCAGAGCTCTCTTCTCACAAGTGGGGAAACTGAGGCTGGCCCGACGTGGCCCACCTCGAAGGTGAAGGTGAGCTCTGGGATCACCAGCCGGGCAGGCTCGGAAGACCCAGCGGATCCTCATCAGTTGCCTGCATCTTCGAAAACGCCTCTTCCCCTTTCACCCCCTGCAATCCATCCCCACCCCGGCAGCCGGAGGGACCTTGTGAAAACGTAAGTCAGATCTGTCTCCAGCCTTTTTAAAGTCTTCATCGCAGACAGAGTGCGACCCAAGCCCCACCATCGCCCACGAAGCCCTGTCAGGTCTCCCCCACTTCCCTCTCCCGCCCTCTCTCCACTCCACTCGCCGCCCCTGCCTGCTTTCACCCGTCCCTCCCGCGCACTGCCCTCGCCTCGCCGCCAGCCTCAGGGCCTTGGCACTGGCTGTGCCTTCCACCCGGAACGCCCAGCTCTCACCTCCTCTGACCATCTCCCTCTGCCCTCCCCCGTCCACAGCCAGGAATCCTTAACCCTTCCCAGGCCACCAACCCTTCCCAAGATAAAGTGTTTCCGTGCACAGAACTGCGTCTATGAGATTACAAAGGAAACCAATTATAGTGACATTCCAACAACAGCAGAAAAAAACAACTGTAAAACGACTTTCATGCATGATATAAAAATGAACACGTGTAATTTTATTTAACTCAACACGTGTGATTTGATTGAACTCCTGAAGGAACCAGGCAGAGGTTTAGAGCAAGAGGGAAGGGAGAGATTAAAGGAAGGGAGGGGGAGAGCAGGGAAAGAAGGAAGAAAGGAAGACGCTTGGGGCTTGGGGGAAGGGGAGAGTCTCCGCGAGGCCTTGGCACAATTGCTGGCTCATTCCGGTTGCTTTCCCTGCTGCGCAGCTGGGTCCTTAGGCTTCGCTGGATTCTCTCCTCCTCCTCACCAGCTCCATTCAGGCCTCCGCGTTGGTCTCCCCCAGACTTCCCCACTGCGCCCCTCCTGCTAGGTTTCTCCCCCACCCCCACCCCAGCCTCCCAGTGGTCTCCATGGCAACGCGGAGACGTGTTCAGAAGCAAGAGTCCGCTCTGAGAGGGTGAGACCCCCGGCACGGGGTGAGGGCCGGGCAGCGCCTCTTTCTCCGCTCTTCATCCCTTCCTTAGGTCTGATGCCCTGGATCTTCATCCCTGAGAAACTGCTTCCTAGAGGCCCTAAAATAAACCCCCTCAGAGAAATAAAGGCGTACAAATCCAAATCTGAGCCTCCGCTGGTGCGGCTCAGTGGATTGAGTGACAGCTTGCAAATCAAAGACTCCGGTTCAATTCCCAGCCGGGTCACCTGCTTGGATTTTGGGCCAGGTCCCCAGTAGTGGGTGCGTGAGAGGCAACTACACACTGATGTTTTTCCCCCTCCCTTTCTCCTTCCTTTCCCCTCTCTCTAAAAATAAATAAATAAAATGTTTTTTAAAATCCAAACCAGAGAAGTCAAGAAATGACTTCACAGATGAGACATTTGGATTGTTTTTTAATTTTATTTTTTGTTTGTTTGTTTTTAGTGGAAGGAAGGGAGGGTTATCCTAGAAATGAAAACCTCAAATGTTCAACATCTTTACAAAACTTGTGAACCCCTGAGCAGCTCTGCTGGGGGTGTCTTAAATTGCCCAGCTCCCTGGCAGGACACATCCTCCTCCAGGCACCCCAGAAAAAAAGGATAATTATTGCTTCCAGTTTTATATTTGTTGAAAAGAAACACAAAAATCAGAAAAGAATGGGGGAAGAAAACAAAACATGGCCCAAATCTCTCCACTCAGCTTCACTTGGTTGCCATTATTTGAAAATTAGTAATACTAAAAGTCACACACACATACTAAGAAAATGCTGAAGTTACAGAAAGGTGTAAAATTAAAAACAAGCTCCCCGCCCCCCGCAAGTCTCCAGCCTCACCCTCTCCAGAGTAACCACAGTTAAATATCTGTACTCTTCCAGAAAGAAAAAAAAAGCTTACTTTAATATCTGTGTAATTCTAGGATTTTCCCCGTAGCACATCTTCACATTATCCTAAGTTATTCTCACCACAGCACTTGCCACTTCCCATTTTCTTATATGTTTATTTATTGTCTCACCGTATCACACCACCGGCCCGGGGAGACTGGGGCTATTTGTCTGGGTTGTTCACTGCGGAATCCCCAGCCTCCAGAACGGTCCTGGCAGGTGCTCAAAATATTTAGTGAGTGAGTGAATGAATGGATTGCATTAGATCTATTACTATAAAACTTTCTTTTTGCTTACTAGCCTGTGTTGGTCTTCTGCACCTCAGTTTTCTGTTTTTCCTGGCAGCCCCCACCTTCGTGAATGCCGGGAAGGCGGGCGCACAGGAGTACTCGCTCTGACTGAACACCCACTTCGTCCCTGACCCCGTGCGCTTTCTCTCTTAATCCTGTCAACCCCTCCTAAGAAAGTGTCATTCCCATTTCCCAGACGAGAAGAACTGAGGCCAAAGAAGGCCACGCTGCTAGCAAGTGGCAGAACTGAGCTTTGAATCACTTAGATTCCTCAGATTTTTAACCCCCACACTTTTTTCAATTTTTATTGATTGATTTGAGAGAGAGGTTTACTGTTTCACTTAGTGATAAATTCATCGGTAATTTTTTTAACTAGGTTTTTAAAATAATTTTTTATTTATTTCTTTTTAGAGAGGGGAAGGGAGGGAGGAAGAGAAGGAGAGAAATATCTCTGTGAGAGACGTAGGTTGCCTCTCGCACGCCCCCAGCTGGGGACCTGGCCCGGACCAGGCCTGCAACCCAGGCTGGGAATAGAACCAGTGATCTCTCCATTTGCAGGACTACGCCCAGTCCACTGAGCTACGCCAGCCAGGGCTGCCTTTCTGCCTGGAGCAGGCCCTCAGAGGGCTGCCCATCTCTTGTTTGTTTCTTGGAGAATCCTGAAGAATTTCTGCCTGGCCGCTTCCTGAGGGCAGGCTCTGACTCTCCCCAGCCCCTGAGAGACCCAGCCCTGTCTCAGGGGCACAGACATCAGTCATCAGAATGATCAGAACCAGAGGGATTTCGATCCCTCTCGAGCTTTCCTGTGAGGCCTTAGGCGAGTCACTGAGCCTTTCTGAGTGTCACTTTTCTCATCCACGAAATGAGATGATGGTCGTGTTAAAAAAAATGCAGGTTTATAATCGCTTATCTCCTCTTCTGAAAGCCCAAAACTTGAAAGACCCCCAATCACCCCCCCCAAAAAAAATAAACAGACAAGCGCTGAGAGGCACGATGTAGTGTGACGTGAGGCTGTGTGTAGTCTTAGTTTAGTTCGACACATGTCAATATCCCACAATTCCCTGCAGAATTCTAATGAGTTTGGTTATGGGAGCTGCCTAACTCTCCCGGGGCCGGGGGCGGGGGGGCGGAGAATTACACAATATAAGAGACAGTCACTCTATCATTTTGCCAACATCCAGAATTCTGAACCACATCTGGCCCAAGGATTTCCGATAAGGAGTTGTGGACCCACAGCACCACCTCTGGAGAGGTAAGAAGATCGAATGAATTAATGGTATGGAGGACTTTGCACACTTCTCAGAACACAAGACAACTTTAGGATGTTTATTCTAGATAAATGGTTTCACCTTCCCTACCAGGAGCTGGGAGCCCGCGGAATAGTGTGTTCTGTTGGCCCTGAGATCTCATGACACCCCTTTCTAAAACAATGCAACACAGGGAAGTGGTTTTCAGAACATTGCTTAGCAGCCAGATTGTTTTTCCAAATGAAATTTAACAGTGTTCCCCCAACATATCAAAGAGCAGACTAATTGCATTAGCATATGTTTATTTTATGTTGGTACAATACAGCATCAACCACAAGGAACAATGAAGAGTTTTAACTGAAGCCACGTTTGAAGCCAGGGAGTTCGCAGAGGCCAGCTGCGGCCTTCTGTCGGCCGGCACGTACAGTTTACTGAGGAATTTTTGTCTAGGATCTGCTCTGCCAGCGATGTCTTGCTTCACACAGATAAGTGGCTTCATATGGTCCCAGTTTTGCACAATCGCTTGTATTTCGATCTCAGGAAACTCTTCAGCTGGTCTGGAAAAACTCCAAAGAGAAGTGGTAGGAGACTTGGGGTTTTATGGGTGACATCGAACCCACTCACATTGTGTGTGGGAAGCACCCAAAACCCACAATAAGCACACATACAGTGTTAGTACCGCGATACAATGATAAGAAATGCCACACTGCTCCTCGTTACTATACAACGATTATGCCCTGATGGGAGAACTGCATGCAATGAACAAGTATGCCTGAGGTTGTGTTACAGTTTATTCAAGCCCCGATTCTGAGGAAACAGTGAGCACAGTAATACAAAGTTCCATGACTGGGAGTGGCCAGGCCAGAAATTCACCAAAAATAAAAAGGTCAGTAGAGAGCTATAAACGTCTACACCAGAGATGCCCTTGCAAGAAGTTCAAACATATGTGTGGGGAAGGTGGGAAAAGCTCTATCCCAACCACCACACAAAAGGAAAAAGTATTGGGGCTTAAGCATAGAGAGTCAGCTTGGGAAATAGACAGAAATTGGTCTTCTAGGGTTTTAGGTTGTTCCAACGCAAGTGAACTCTAAAAATTCCTTCTGTGTTTTGACCCCCTGCTGGGAATCCAAGGCCGTAAAGGCGCTCCCGGCTGCCTGAGGGTGGTCCCTTAACCGTTCCCAGGCTGCCCAGGTGGGGTGTAGAATGAGACATCCACCTATCGGCTCTGCTGGGGGTGAGGGTGGGGGGGAAATGGGGTCACCTCTCAGAAATAAGACAGGGGGTGGTCACTGGAATTCACAGGTGTGATTACCCACCCGCAGGAATACACCGGGGGTCTCCAGTGTTACAGTTTGGTTTGCAGGCTGGCAGTCAGTCCACTGAGCCACACCAACCAGGGCTCAGTGTCACTATTTGATAGGTAAAAATCTGAACATGCACTCAGAAGTTACATTTTTTAAAAGAAAATCAGTTCAAACCTTTGCAGATCCCTGAACTGATGAAAGTTTGCAAATTCTCAGGTCAGACACTGGAACAAGGGCCCTCTCTACCCACAGCGTTTGGATTTAACGTGAGAGAGGTTTTTTCTTTTCTTTTCTTTTTTGTTCTTTATCATCACAGGGGACTTGGAGGCTCAGGCTTAATATTGTTCATGGATAACTCCTGAATGTGACCTCCTAATTATTTACCTCCCTGTGGACCGTTCCCTGGAAGTCCCTTTTGTTCTTTAGAGAGTGGAGTGTGCCCCTCCCCCCAAGTGAGAGCTTCTGGGGTTTAAATTGCAGAGCACCCAACCCTCCTCTCAGGCGCCAGCCAGAGCAGAAGCACCCCCTCGCCCCCTCCCCCGCTGACCAGCCCTGCAAGGGAGACCCAGTGTGCAGAGATAAGGGACAGCTGCTCAGTCACACACGGAGCAGTGAGGTCCAAAGACGAGGCGAGCAGGCAGGCACTGTTTCTGCTCGTCACATGCAAACCAGAGCGGCCCACGCCGGGCCAGTCCGTGCCAGAGGTGCGTCCAAACTACATCCTTTGAAAAGACAAAAAACGACTCTAGACTTTGCGATGGCTGGACTTCCGGCCGGGCCTAAAGCTAGAGGGAGGGGATCCGTGCCTCCTTCCCCACAGGGCACACTCAGCAAGGGGTGCGGTCCCCAACATCACACAGGCCATGGGCCGGGGAGGGTGGCCGAGGGGACAGTGGCCTTTCCCCCCTCCCCCTCGAGCCTGCTCCCTGCCACTTGCTTCCTGCTTGGCTAGTCCTCAACCCCATTAGACGACCTTCTGCAGAACCTTGGTGTGCTGGACCCGGTTTCTCTCTGCTGTTTCCCAGCCAACACCTGCAGACATCGGGTGGGCAGAGGAGGGCATGCGGTCTCCATGGCAACAGCCCCGACACGCTGCGCCTCCGACTGCGACTGCGCAGATTGTCCCACAGAGTCTGCAGGTTGTTAGCCATTGTTTGCAGGTCTTGGAGATCCTTCCTCACTCAAAAGTTATCTCCACCCACTCAAATAGCGCCCACCCACCCACACACTTCAGTGTCAGCCCCACAACCACTCAAATATCACCCACTCTAACTCCTGTGTTACATATGCTCAGATGCCATGCACACGCTGAAACAGTACCCACGCGCACTCGTGTTCCTGTAACGCAGGTGCCATCCGCACCTACTCAGCTATTTAACAGGAGTGCCGTGAGGGCAAGGTTTGGGCCTGTTTCGTCCCCCACTGTGTCTCTGGTGCCTGGAACAGTGCCAGATACACTGTGGACACTCAGGAAATGTTTGTTGAATGAATGAATGAATGACCCACACTCAGCCATACAGTACCTGCACCTACCCAAATGGCGCCCACGCCCACTCAGAAGTATCCGAGGAACTCAAAGGCCCCCACTCACTGTGTGTGCGATGAAGGCAGGATTTGTTTCCTTCCACGGCCCCAGGCCCTAGAGCGGTGCCCGGGACGCAGTGGGTGTGCGATAAGTGTGTGCAGGACAAAGGAGTGAGTGACCCACGCCCCACGAGGTGCTGACCACACCCCCTCCGATGTCACCCACAAGTTAACTCAGATGCAAATGCCACCTTCACTCACGCCAGTCTCACACCATGCTCACCCCAATGGTGCCCGTTCGCACTGTTTCCCACTCACTCCCGTGTAAGGCCCACCCTCACTCCCACGGTCCATACCCACTCGCCTTCCCCAAACTCGCTCAGATGGAACCCACCCTCCCACAGGCGTCACCCACACCCACTCGTCTGCCCCCGCGCCCACCCCCAGCCACCTCACAGATTCTTGTCAGACGCGTGGTGCCGTCGGCGGTTTTTCTTCGGCTTCCGCTTGGCCCTCTTACCGTCCCCAGCCTTCCTGTCCTTGTCCGCGGGGTCCAGAGGCGGCGCCCCGTCCAGCCCGGCAGCGGCCCCAGCCCGGGGCGTCTCCCCGGGCCCGGGCGCACAGCACTGTCTGGCGGGCAGCTCTCTGGGGCCCGACCCGGTCGGGCAGAGCTCCTGCCTCAGGACCCGGGCCACGTCCTCCACCGTCCTGCCCTCGCTCTGCAAGAAGAGGTTCAGCTTGGTCAGGAACTCAATGTCCTGCTTCCGGGGCATGTAGACCACTCTCCACATGCCGCCCTTGCCCTGGATCTCCCTGGGGATCGCGGAGTAGTTGATGTCCTCCATCAGCCTAACGATGGCCGCCTTGGTCCTGTCCTCTTCCAGAAAGGCCTTCCCGGCTACTTCGAACTTGCCCAGAGGTTTCAGGGGGACCCTGATGATCTCTTCGAATTCCTCATGGCTGCAGTCCTCCGGGATCCCCAGGATCATCAGGGACCTGTAACTGTCCACCTCTAGGGCCTGGCACCCGTGCTCCAGCAGCGCGATGTCCTTCACGCCGAACAGCATCTTGCCCAGCTCTCGGAGGCAGCAGTACGCCCGCTGGTGCCCGCCAGCGCCGCCTTGGGGGTCCGCGAAGCGATCCAGGATGCCACGATCCCTTCCCAAAGGCCACGCGCGAGAGATGGGCCTCCCAGGCCCGGTGTGTCCACTTCCGTCAAGAGTGCCCCGGGTGCTGCCCGCTGGGCTGCCCGGTGTTCAGTCCCCGGTGACAACCCTCCGGTGACAACCCCCCGGGAGAGGCCTCGTGGGAATTCCCAGGGGCTCAGGCCGCGGGAAGCAGAGGCCGGTGTCTGCCGGCTGGCTCTTGGCCCCTGCGCAAGGCCGCGCCAGGCAGGGTCTGGAGATGCTGCACGTGCTTTCTTGGCGGTGGTCTCCGAAGGCCTCAGCAGATCTGGGGCCGAGCTCCCAGGGGCCACTGACACCGGGGCGTCGCGGATGGAGGCCTGGCTGGTTCCTTGTAGCTGGCCCCCAAGCCGGCCTGGGTGCCCTGGGACCAGGCTAACAGGAGGCTGTGGCCGCTGCACTTGCTCCCGCAGTGACGTCACCGCCTCCTCCCTGCGCTGCGGCCCAGCGGTCTCCATGGCAACCAGGAGAGCATTGCCTCTGCCATTGGCCAGGCCCAGCCGCATTGAAATCAAAGTCCGAAGGGGTCATGTAGAGGTGAGGGGTCAGCCACCAGCTTTCAGGAGGACCCTCTCCCTTTATCCTTCAGGGAAACCGCCTGGTTCCGGGGGAGAGGGGACAGGGAAGATACAAAACGAGCCTGAAACATCTTCTTGGGTCAGAGAGTAAGGAAATGCTCAAAGAATAATGAGAACAGGTGGAAAGACACTGAGTTCACTTGAAGGGCTCCCACCGAACAAATGTGAGACACTCAGAGCATCAACGTTACAGTTGGGGGTAACATTATAACCCTTTCGATACAGTGAGTGTCCATGAGTCCATGTAGATATAAATAGATGGACAAATGCAAAATTTGATGGAGGAATGTGGGATTTTATGTTATCTCCTATATAACTTATGACTTAAAAAGAGCAAAAGTATCTTTACGGTGGAATGCCCTTGTTTGTAGGGCACACCCACTATCATGTTCAAGGATATCATCCAGAATGATCCACCAGATGCGCGATTTACCCTCAAAATGGATTCAGAGGGGAAAAGCGTTCTTTGTTCCATACCTGCGACATTCTTATAAGTTTGTGATTACTTTTTTTATTTTTTTAATAAAAAAGAAATGCCTTGTCCTGGCCGGTATTGCTCAGTCGGCTGGAGTGTCTCTCTGCAAACCGAAAGTTCACAGGCTCCATTCCTGGGCAGGGCACGGGTTTAGGTCGTGGGTTCGGTCCCCGGTGGGGGCACATTCGAGAAGCAACTGATTGATGTTTCTCTCCCATCCTCTCTCCTCCCTTTCCCCTCTCTCTAAAACCAATAAGCATAAAATCCTGGGTGAGGGTTTTTAAAATATAGTCCTGTGTATGTGGCTGCCTTCACAAAGTCCATTCTTCCCCTCCCTACGCCAGTAATAAAAGCCATGAAGTTTGGGTCTGACAGTCTCCAGATCCCCAGCTCCAGAGATGAATGACTTAAATTAATCCTCCTGACCTTTCCCCTTTGCCACTTCTGAGCCTCTTCCCCCATCTTTTCTGAGTAACTGGCTCAGAAACGGTCACACAGGTAACCAGGGCCCAAGCCAATTGGAGTCTTCTATCTCCCTAGTCAAGAGATTGGTTAAGATCTGGACTATGAACTCATTGTAATTAGAATAAAGTTCAGGGAAAGGAGAAAAAAAAAAGAATAAAGCTCAGGACTATTGTGACTAGTTATGAGGAAGACACCCGTCTTGGAACCACGAGGGCATCGGTTTTGAGGATGGACTCTGCACCCCAAGGAAGGCTGAGCTCAGGGAGTCATCGAGAAACCATGGCATCATCCTGACGTCATCATGGGCCTCCAGATCAAACTACGACTGGCACTTACTCCCTCTGAAGCTTTGTTTTTTTAAGATTTTATTTATTTATTTTTAGGCATAGGGAGAGGGAGGGCGAAAGAGAAGAAGAGAAACATCAATGTGTAGCTGCCTCTTGGGTGCTCCCTACTGGGGACCTAGCCCACAACCCAGGCATGTGCCCTGACTGGGAATCGAACCAGCAATGCTTTTGTTCCCAGGCAGGTGTTCAATCCACTGAGCCACACCAACCAGGGCTGAAACTTCATTTTTTTTAAACTTTTAAATTCAAATGCAACATACATAATAAAGAGAGCACAAAATATAAAAGTGAGTGGCCAAGCCACACTTCCTTCCTCAGCACCCTGCCTCCTGGGCCCAAACATTTGAACTGACAGCATGCCATGCTGTTCCCTGAGAAGGAGATGCCTTATTGTGTCACCTAGCTTAGCTCCTGTTCTCTCACTCCATTGCTATGTGACCTTCGGTGGGCTAATTTCCCACTCTGGGCAGTGCAGTGATTTTGTCTTGTCTAATGTAGCTAAGTCATGCCTGTGTACTCTAGAATACCTGCCCCCCCCCACCCCAGTGGCTCTGGCAGAGAGTTGTCTAAAAGAGAAGTTCACACGAGACTTAGAAAGCAGGTGTGAAGCAGCTGCCATTACAGTGGGAAGCTCTGAGCAGGGCCCGGGCGCTGCAAAGGCTCATGGGTGTTGTCACCACCCTGCTGGACCCCTTGTTGGCTTGGGGCAGCACCGGGCCTCAGCCCCACCTGCGCCTGCTGGCTGTCCTCTTGCAGCTTCTGTAAATTTGGGGCCAGGTGCCTGGGAAGCTCCTTGAGGGCGGACACCAGCTTCTCCTGCAGGTCACACGTGGAACTGAGGTTGGAGGTGGCGAGAGACACATGGGCTCTCAGGCTGTTCTCATGAGTCCCAGGCTGTTCTTGTAGGTTCCAGTTTCCCAGCTACCCAGCCAACTGGCCAGAGACCTAGAACCCAAAACCAGTTCCAGAGGCAACAACCCTCAGAGAATTTTGCACCTGCAACCCTCTGCTCCCTGGGTGGTAACTGTTCTGGTATTCCCACCGCCCCTTTCCAGCTATGACTGCGAAGATCCTGTCCCTGTCATAAAAGTTCCTGACCTGTGTCACTCACAGTGGGCCTGTTTCTCTGCTGAGTATCAACCATCCTTTACAAAACAACAGCAAGAAGGGAAATGTGCCCTCTCATCTAGGGGTTTTAGGAGCCAGCTCTTTTTTTTTATGATTTTATTTATTTATTTTTAGAGAGAGAAGAGAAGGAAAGAGGGAAACATCAATGTGTGGTTGCCTCTCCTACACCCCCTACTGGGGACCTGGCTTGCAACCCAGGCATATGCCCTGACTGGGAATCAAACTGGTGACCCTTTGGTTCACAGGCCAGCACTCAATCCACCGAGCCATACCAGCCAGGGCAGGAGCCAGCTCTTTGATGGTGATTTCTCCAAAGTCTTATTATGACATTAAAAAGTCACATGCGGCTCCACTACGTAACAGTGTCCCTGTTCATGCAAAGATGATTTTCCCTCAAAAGATAAGTAAAATTGGCAGCCAAAATATTTGCCATGGGGGCCCTGGCCCGGTGGCTCACTTGGTTGGAACATTGTCCCGTATACCAAAAGGGTACAGGTTGGACCCCTGGTCAGGGCACATGCCTGGGTTATGGGTTCGATCCCCTGTCAGGGTGTGTACAGGAGGCAACCGATCAGTGTTTGTCTCTGACATTTCACATTGATGTTCCTCTCTCTCTCTCTCTCTCTCTCTCTCTCTCTCTCTCTCCCTCTCACACACCCCACACACACCCTCCTCTCTCTGTAAACTTAATGAACATATCCTCAGGTGAATATTAAACATACATACATGAATATGTATATTTCCCATGGGGAATATAAATTGGTGCAGCCACTGTGGAAAACGACATGGAGGTTCTTTCAAAAATTAAAAATAAAACTCCCATATGATTCAACAATTCCACCTTGGGGGATTTATCTGAAGGACAGGAACCTGATTTGATGAGACATGTATATATATCCCAGTGGTCACGGCAGCATTGTTTACAATAGCTAAGACACGGAAACCACCTCCGCGCCCATCGATGGGTGAGTGGATAAAGGAATGGCATGTGTGTGCAATGGAAAATCACTCAGCAGCAAAACAAGAAAGAAGTCCTGCCCTTTGGAACAACATGAGCAGACCTTGAGGGCATTCTACTCAGCAAAACAAGACAGGCAGAGAAAGACGAATGCCATACAGTCTCACTTGCGTGTGCAATCTTTCTTTAAAAACCCAAACTCACAGACATGGAGAACAGACTGCAGCTGCCAGAGGCAGGGTAGGAGCGGGCGAGACAGACACAGGTGGTGAAAAGATACCACCTTCCAGTTACACGATACACAGTTCCTGGGGCTACAGTGCACGATTACAGCTAATCGTGCTGCATTGTGTGTCTGAAGGTTGCTAAGAGAGTAGATCTTCAAAGTTCCATCACAGGGGAAAAATTTTGTAGCGAAGGGTGGTGATGAATGTTTTAAAAACTTGCCAGGGGTTTCTGATGCCCTGGGGCTTCATGGCACACATCTGGGCTAGTGCTCATTCCAAATTGAGAAGCAGGTGACAAAACAGTGCATTTATTTGACCCCCGCTATCGACTGAGATGGTTCTTTGTTCCAGGTCCCGGCGATGTGCTGGACAGACCTGAGGGAGTGAGACAGGCTCCACTTTCAGGGGCTCAGTCCAGCGGAGGCAGCAGGCTGGGCCAGCCTGTGCACAGTCAGGGAGGGAGGCCCCAGAATTATCACGAAGTTGTGTTCTCATCCTTGCTGGGGGGCTTGCAACGCAGGGCATGCTAATTGGGATGTGTTTTGCCAAAGTTTTTTTTATAAATAGTTTGTTTATTTTTAGAGAGAGGATAAAGGAGGGAGAGAAACATCAATGTGCAACACATACATGCATCTATTGCTTCTCGGAGTGCCCCCTACTGGAGACCTGGTCCACAACCCAGGCATATGCCCTGACTGGGAATCAAACTAGTGACCTTTCGATTTGCAGGCTGGTGCTCAATCCACTGAGCCGCACCAGCCAGGGCCTGTTTTGCCAAAGTTGAAACAGAGAACTATGTAAAGTGCTTTTTGGGGGCCCTGAGCATCTGATCCCATCTGGCCTCACCAAGGTAGACTTCCTGGAGGAGGTGACACTGGAGGAGATATTGAAGGAAGGTTATCTAATAACCATGATTTTAGAGAGAGAGTAACATCAACATGAGAGAGAAACATCAATCAGTAGCCTCCCGGTTGCTACCTGACCAGGGATTGAACCTGTAACTTAGGTATGTGCCCCTGACCAGGAATCGAACCAGCAACCTTTTGGTGTACAGAATAACACTCCAAGCCCCTGAGCCACCCAGCCAGGGCAGTAGTTCTATTTTTAAAAGCAGGCATTGCATCACTTACATAGGGCATGCTACATGTCAGACATTTCAAGCCCTACATCCATACGAAGTCATGTGATTCTCATAGCACTCCATGAATTCAATATTATTGTATCAATTCAGTTGCTCATTCACTGGACAAACATTTATGGAACAGCTCCTGGATTTTACAGCCCAGAAAACTGAGGACCAGAGAGATTAAATAACTTACCTAGAGTCACACAGCTAGCGAGTTCTTAAAATTTTTATTTAATATTTCTGTGACTTTTCT